ATCGGAACTGTTCAAGACTCCAGTATTAGGACCAATCATGTTCGCTAGCAGGGCTCTAGCTTGCGCTCGTTGTTGACTATTCGAACCATTGGGGAACGTCCGAGCTGGTGCTGGGGTCGTAGCGCTCGTCCCCGAAGCGGACTGGGAATAGGACCGACTGGCAGCGTGTACCTGGCCGGGAGGTGAGGAGATCGAGGCACGGTGCTGTATATTCTCTATATTCCCAAATTGAATATTGGTTGCCGGGGCAGATTGGGGCACTGTGACGTCCCTCGCGCCTTTCATATCATTGACAAAGCGAACTGTACCCGCCTTGCTGCTAGATGAGCTGGGAGGACGGCGCTCATCTTGTTGCTCCGACGAAGGGGTCGACTTGGCCATCGCCAGTTTCAACAATTGACTTAGCGTATCACGGTCAATATTGAGGGCCGAAAGGGCAGTAAGAGTTTCCGAAGGTAGCACCTCCAACGGGTCATTAGACGATCGCTGTTGAGGGGTAGTTGTCGAAGATGGTCGGTCCCGCTCCCGAGTGCTATTACTCGACGATGTCGATCCTGTCGGAGAAACCGAAGTCCTTGCACCTAAGCCAGGGTTGCGAGTCGTCAAGGCAAGATTCGAGTTACTCGGCCGAGCCCCAGCAACTGGAGTTATGACACCCTCAGGGTAATCCGAGCCGTTGGGCTGGTAATCTTGATCAATAGCCGGCAAAAATGGTTGACCGAGCGGCTGAACCTGATGCTGAGGAATAACCATACCCGGAGAGAAGCCCTGCTGCGGCCTAGACTTCGCCGTCGCTTGCGATATGCGCACTGGGAGGACAAGCATTGAGTATGAAGGACCAGCAGTAACGTGATGGGCGACTCACTAGGGCGACTCAGGCAGTACAAGCCCTGCATCTCAATCAATGCCCTCGAAGCATCGCTAGCAGACCCAAAGCGGACAAAGCCGTAACCTTTACTCACACCCATGACAGGGTCTACCATGATTTTCGCGCTCCTGCAACTTGTAAACGGCGCCACAAACTTTGGTTCCCTATCGTGCCTGAGGCCCAGAATGGGATCGCGAAACACCGCGATCAAGTCAGAGTTGGTAGTCTCGGGAGCAAGGTCTCCAACGAAGATAGAGAATTCTTGTTGGCGACCGCTCGCCTGAGGGGTGCCCGCGAGCGTGTCATCCGCTACCGGGGGAATAAAAGGATTGAGGAGACTCAGCCCTCCTGGCGCAAATAGTGCACTGGCGTTGGTGTGATCGTCGCTCATCGCATCACCACGATGACCCATGCTCCTAGCCGAGGACGCAGGAACGGTGGCCCACGTTACGGAGAAGGGCCGCTTCGAGTTAGGCATCAGA